CTTCTTTTTACCCTAACACATGTTGTTCTGTGACAAAGTTATCACAGAACATCACTTGTAGCAGCCTATGAATGAGTCAGGGTTTTAATCAGGGTGGATAGAAATCAATTTTTTTTTAAATAAAAAAAATATCGGATTTTTTTTATTTAAATCAATTTTTTTGATAAAATGCTTTTGAGGAAAACACCTATCTAAAGATAGTTTTAATTAAGAAACATTATAGCTCAAAGATATCTCCTCATGGAATAGGGATTATAAATTCTATTTCTATAGTATGAGACAATATATTCATGTAATGTTTAAGAAATGTTTTGTAAATGAATTTCAATAATTCATGGATTAGGGGCCCAATTTTATGGGATTCCAGGGGCTTCTGTATAGATTATTTAGGTTAATCTTTCTATCTACCCAATGGGACTCAGTACTCAGTCTAGAAGATACCATCAGAGATGCTTAGTTTTGCAGTTCTCAAACTGTGGATTTGTGTCTCCAGAGATAACATGCTTGTTATCAGCAAAAATGTTTTTAAATAAATAATATATAGAGGTGAAAAATAAAACATCAACCCTATTGTCCCTCTGCAAATCTGTGTACACAGAGTCAATCCCTTTCCTCTCTCTAAAAGTGCAAAGTTTCAAAAAGTTCAATGAATAGAAGATTGTTGGGGGCAGAATAGATCTGGACAAGGAAAAGAAGTCTGGAGATAAATGTGAGAAAGGAGGAACAGGCAGTAGAAACAAAACTGAAACTGTTTGAGCAGCATATTCCAGAAGTCTTGAGGTCTTTCTGAGTGTAGCCTTCATAGATTTGAGATCTACTATACCATTCTCTCACTAGAAGGAAAAACCTATAATGGCAGCAGGCCGTAAGAGAGACCCACTTTGGGAATATTTTAATGAAGTTCCTCTACCTGTGGGTAAGACAGGCATGCGTGCAAAATGCAAACAGTGCAACAAAGAAATGCAAGGCCTGGTTGCCCGAATGAAATATCATGAGACGTGTTCCCTCTCAGGAGGAAGCTGCAGTGAAGATGATGAAAGGAACATGTCTGAACATGCAGGATCTTCAGGTTGGTAAACTTTTTTATTTCATACTTCATTCTTAAGGACTGCCTGTCTTCCTTCTGGACTATTCTTGAATTCTCATGTTTGAGCAAAAAATATAGTTGTTACTCTATGGTACTATCATTTTAGATGCAGTTGTGATAAAAAATAAATAGCTGAAATAGGCAGATCTTCCTTTTACAATTTCACCTTTACTGAGTGTCAGTAAATGCAATGAGTAATACTAAATGAGCAGTATGTAATAATAATTAAATAACTGCATTGACTTATTTTGTTTAGGAGAATCCATCCTCGACATACAGGATTCTGAAGACTATCCACCTTCAAGCTCATCATCATTTTCTATAGTTTCAGAGTTATCTGCCAATGATAGTGTTTCAGCCACATCATGTATGTCACATAACCACAGTATATCACCTGTAGCAAAAAAAAAAATCTCCATCATCCAGAAACAACCATAGAGAAGTTTGTGATAAGACCCAGCAGATTAGAGGTAATTGATGAAAAAATTACCTGGTTTGTTTATGCAACAAACTCTCCTTTCCGTATGATTGAGAACCCACACTTCATTAACATGGTTCAGTCATTAAGACCAGGATACAGTCCACCCAACAGAGCAGATGTCGCAAGCAAATTGCTGGATAAAGTGTATGAAAGAGAAATTGAGCAGTGTGCAAAACGTCTAGAGGGTGAAATTGTTAACCTGAGTCTTGATGGGTGAAGCAATGTCCACAATGATCCTGTTGTATGTGCCTGTGTGACAACAGAAGAACGGAATGTCATCCTTACAGAAACAATTGATACATCAGGAAATGCACACACAGCAGAATACTTACAATACTTATCCAAGATAAGAAGAAATTTAGAAGAGAGTCCCAAGCTAATAACGTACGGATGCAGTGTTCATTTGATGCACCTCCTAGCCAAAGACTTCAGTGTTCCAGAAAGAAAGGCTAATGTTGTTGAAATTGCAAAATACTTCCGTAACAATCACTTTGCAGCAGCTGCTCTGAAAGAAGTGGAAGGAACCAAGCTAACTCTGCCACAAGACGTGCGATGGAACTCAGTAGGGGGCTGTTTTGAGCACTATATCAAGAACTGGCCTAATCTGATGACAGTTTGTGAACAAAATGTGAAAAAATAGACAGCACTGTCACAGCCAAAGTTCTCAACATTGGGCTTAAGAGAAATGTTGAACACATACTGAGTACCCTGAAGCCTATTTCTGTAGCCTTGAACAAAATGCAGAGAAATAGCTGCTTTATTGCTGATACTGTTGAAATTTGGAAGGAACTGAATGAGATCTTAAAAAAAGAAATATGCAATGACAGAGTTAACTTACAAGCATTAAAAAAAAACAAATGGGACAAGCACTATCTCCAGCTTATTTTCTTGCAAATATTCTCAATACTTTGTATTAGGGTCAAACCTTAACTGCTGAAGAAGAGGAGTTGGCTATGACATGGACATCCAGCAATCATCCCTCCATAATGCCAACTATAATAAACTTCAGAGCTAAGGGTGAACCATTCAAGAAATACGTTTGCTGATGATGTTTTAAAGAAAGGTCACACCAGTGAACTGGGGGAAGTCATTTAAGCACTTGGATTCAGAGACTGTTGAAGTGATAATCTCACTTTTAACAGCAGTAGCTTCTTCTGCCGGTGTAGAAAGAATATTTTCTTCCTTTGAACTAATTCATTCCAAATTGAGAAATCATTTGGGACCCAAAAAAGCAGGAAAGCTGTTTTTTTTTCCAGATTATGAACAGACAGGAAAATGAAGGTGAAGACGACTGAGTTAGCTGCAGAAGCGAATATCAAGTTTCTCATGTTGACCTAGCTGACATAGTCGATTTTTTTTTTCAAATATTTCATTTAACTATTTTAGTTAAAAACAATTTTAACAAAAACAAACCAGATTTTAAAAAATTTGAATGTTTAACTAAATGCAAAAATTCATATGCTTGTTTTGTTAAAATATTATGTTTGCTGTTGAAGAAAAAAATCCAGAATACATAACGTTGTTGTTTTAGTTAAATAAAACAATTTAAATGTCTGTCTGGTGATGTTCTCCTCCTAATACAGCATGGCAAGAAAATCCACCAAATATTAATGATTAACCTGTTGAATTGGAGATATTTATGAAGTCATTGGGAGGTGAACTATCTGCTTCAATTACCTTTGGTAAATGAAATAACCAAACAATCATTCATTTTCTGATATAGCTATAAAACTAAATCTGAAAAGTTTTCAAAATAAATCACTTTAAAAATGTATAGTGTGTACCTTCTAAAAATGAAACCTATATCTATCCCTGAGTTGTGAAGAATATGTATTACGGTTATAACAACCAACAAGAATGCACTTTTATGTAGAAATCCATAATTAAATCGAGTCTTCCTGAATAGTGATTTAAATCATGATTTAAATCAATTTGATTTAAATCAAATCCACCCTGATTTTAATTATTATATGATGTGGATTTGCAGAGATTTTATATCTCAAGAGATATAACAAAAATAGCTGTTTAAAAACTGCAAACCACGCCATGTAATAAAAAAAAATTGCTTACCCTATCCCTATAAGTCAGCGCCAGTGCAGTTCTTTGATAGCTGTGTATCAGAGTATGTTGGGGGGGACTCTGAGTAGGAATTGGCTGATTTGATTCTGAAAAGACTTGAACTAAAAGGAAAGAAAGAAGTAAAGTTAGAGTTGTGGGACTGGTCCGCTGCTCACTCCTGCTATGTGGAACACTCAGAACATTTAGCTTCCTCCATCCCCATATTCATATATTTACAGGTCAGGTGATCTCTAAACTACGGCTACGTAGCACAAAACTTGGGTAACCTAACATCCTTTCTTCACACTGGTAGGTGGGCAGCCTTCAAAGAAACCTAAAATATTAGGAGGCACATCTGTTCTCTCTAAATATACAGAAACATGTTCTGTTTACATGCTGATGTACTTGGTGTGTAGTTATTTCTAACATAATTAAGATTAATAATGAAGCAAAACATCAACCACTGAGATTATAGCAGCAGCCATCCCCAGTTTACACCTGACAGAATGGTTCTGCCTGTCACCAATCACCATCCCTCCCCCAGAGAAAGAAGGAGCATATGAATTACTTTGGCTAAGAAGATAGCAGCATCCAATACAGCTTTGATATGACGCAGCCAGCCAGAGTTCTCCAAACCAGACAAGAAACTGTTGACAGACAAAGCTTTTGTACCACTGACTGAAATAGAAAGAAAAAAGGCGTTAGAACTTTCTATGGAGCTGTAGCTCTCTAGGTGGAGAAAAATAAAATAATTACAGGATAGGCTGATATTCCTCCGAGTTTAAAAATCTATTTGAATTGTTCTCCTCTTTTGGTAAAAGTGTCAGATTCCTAATGTTTCAGAAATGCAAACATGAGTAATAAATAAAATCCTTCAGCTAATATAGATCTTGCAGGTATCTGATCACGAGTTACAGAATTGAAGAGATACAGTAACTCCTCACTTAACGTTGTAGTTATGTTCCTGAAAAATGCGAGTAAGTGAAATGATGTTAAGCGAATCCAATTTCCCCATAAGAATGAATGTAAATGGGGGGTTTAGGTTCCAGGGGAAATTTTTTTGCCATACTGTATAGTACTATAGTTGGGAGGTGCCCTCACCTTACCCCACACAGGCATAGCCCACTGGCACTGGAGACAATGAGGCAGGCATGGAGGCTGAAGGTGCTGTAGGCTAGGAGCAGCACGTTGCACAGCAGCAGCTTCCCCTACTCTGCAAGCACCGGGGTGGCGGGGCTCAACCCTTGGCCCGCCCACACCTCCCGTTCCCCTAAGCCCCCACCCTTAACCCACCTCTTCTTCCTCCCCCCCCCGCACGCCTTTACTCCGCACATCGGTCCTCGCTCCTCCCCCTCCCTCCTCTGCCTCCTGCCCACAGCAATCAGCTGGCTTGCAGCATTCAGGAGGCAGGAGGGAGGGGGAGGAGTGAGGACACAGTGCGCAGGCTCCCCCTCCCTCCTGAACACCGCAAGCCAGCTGATTGACACAGGCAGGGGAGGGAGGGGGGAGGAGCGAGGACGCGGCGCGCAGTCTCCTCCCTCCCCCCTGCCCAGGGCAATCAGCTGTTTTGTGGTGTTTGGGGGCGGGGAGGAAGCCTGCGCACCAAGTCCTCTCTGCTCCCCGCTCCCTCCTGAACACCTCAAGCCAGCTGATTGCCACGGGCAGGAAGAGGAGGGAGAAGGCACTGATCCGCAGGGTCTGCCGGCGGGCGGGAGGCGCTGGGGTGGAGGGGCGTAAGGGAGCTGATAGGGGGGTTGCCAGCTGTGGACAAAGCATTATAGCAAAGCATTGCACAACTTTAAGTGGAGCATGTTCTGTAATTGAGCAGGGACGCAAGATTGAAACAACGTTAAGCGAGAGGACGTTAAGTGGGGAGTTACTGTACTAAGTCACCAGTGTGGTCAAAATGTAAGGACAACATTCAAGGAAATGGGATTAGTGGTGCCCAGTAGGAAGATCTACCTAATTTAACAGAAGAAGGACAGCACAAGATAAACATGTCACAATCCCAACAGCCTATCAAAAATATTTACCTGGGGAGTAAGTCACATAACCAGACAATGTTTACAGTTTTGAACAGTTATCAATGATTACTCCAGTAAATCACTTTCTTTAAATAATAAAGTAAATGTAGTGCTTGTATATGCAATGAACTGACAACCTTGGACCGTGAAGCCCTCTATGTATCTGCAGAACAGATGTGCTGCCGCTTCCTTACTGTAAGTTCCTCCATATTGCCTCACTAATGTACCTCAGATGCAATACAGTGGAGGAGGGAAATTAAGGGGAAATCATTAATAGGAGAGGGTAGTTCTCCCTCAATCATTCTAATTTCTCCCATCTTCTGAGAGTATCAATGTGGGTGCTTCATTGCTGTTGAACATGAAGGGCTATTTTTTTTGTGATGTGCACAATTGTCAGTCCACAAAAAACAGGACTTCGGACATCAAGTAATCATAAGATGGTAACAGCTTTTTGCCTGTAATTCACTTTGAATCACACACATTACTCTGACTGCCAAGCAACCAGTCTGGCTTGAACCAGGTCAAGTAAATCAAAATAGTTTTGCACTATTGATCCTAGCTGATTGAGAGGTCTGGGCATCAAAATGAAACAGCTACCCACTTGGCTGCTACAAGATCACATGACCATGTGAGTTAAGAGAATTTTTAGTAGAGAGTGAGTGAAGATGTAGCAGTTAGTGCAAAATCAATCCTTTTAGAACTGGTCTCTGATTTCTGAGAGTGAAAGTAAGTGCAGGTACATTTTATAGCACTCAGATGTCAGAGTATTTTATCTGTGAGTGCAATCAAGCATTTCAACATTTAAGTCCTATTGAAAAATCAGGGGTAATACATGCATGTTATAAACCCCAATGGTTTTTTCCTGTAAGCCATCTGACATGCTAACAGAATTTGCCTACTTCCACCCAAGACACATTACATGTTAAACTATTTTCCTTAAGACAAATGACTGACAATTCATTAGAGCTCATTGCCCCAGAATTGTGATTAACACTAGCACCTGCCCCTCAGAACTCCATAACAGACACTAAATTCACTGCTGTCGGTAACAAAGTTTGGAAGTTCCTTGGTGTTTTGCATAGACTAACAATAAAAGACCAATGACATGAGAAGGTCACTTATCCTATTTTTAATCATATTCTGTTACACCAGAGTTAGAACAATAAAACATACCTTCTAAAAGTTTCTGCAGGCTGGATCTCATTACGTGAATGTTTTCAATTCCAACAAACTGGAATCTAATGTTAGCATAGTTGTCTTCATTTTCATAGCCTTTACCTGCTGCTCTGTTTGCCATTGCATTAAGCTTAGTGAAGGAAAATGCAAATATTTAAAATCAAGAGTTAAAAAGTAAATTGTAAAATCAAAATATAGATTAAGTAACCAAACATCTTCAGCAGGACACTCAGTTAAAAAACAAAACTAACACATCCATAAAGATGTTTATGGTATGTATATCAGATTTGTGGCAGACTAATCTGAAAGGATTACTCTGACATGAGAATGACACAACATGTGGGGGCATGTGATATGTAGAAGACTATGAAAAGTAAAAACAATCAGATGTTGAGAGCTGACAAATCTGAATACTATATCCTAATTCTCCTTTTCCCAAATAATAATTGCTTATTTGAAAGATGCCACGCAGTAACTAGCCTAAAAGAAAAAGTTAGTACTATGAAGTGTTAAGATACCTGAAGTGTGTAATTTGAAGGGAAAAAAAGATCAGTGTATCCTAAGTAATATGATAGCTACAAAATTATGAGGTACCAAAAACAGATCCAGCTGGGCTGGTTCCATTTCACTCAACAAGCCAGCACTTTTTTCTGGAGGCTTCCTCTTGTGCTCCAGTATCTAATGTTTTACAATTAAAATTTAATCTTCTAGTCCTTATGATCAAATAAATTTAAAAATAAGAACTTTTGAGTGGAACCAACAAATATATCTGCCAAAGTCTGCAACTATGCTCCAATAAGTATCAGCTGCACCACTCTTCGCAGTGCAGTGCTAATGCTGAACTTTAACAGCTGATCAGATATGAACAATTAACTATTTTATTGCTGACCAAAACATGTAAAAAAAAAAAGAGATCTACAGTCTACTTTAAGTGACATCTCATTTTGATATCACATATGGATGGAACTTGGTTATAAGCAGAGTTTAGGAAATAATCATCACTTGATATGCCCACCCCACAATCTGATCAGTGACCAAAGAAGTAAAGGTGTAGTAATGTGAAATTGCTTATTAAAATGTGGTATCTAAACAAACTCTAGGGCTTGAACACTGTCCTGCAGATGCTCTCTCTAGGTTTTACAATTTCTGTCTCCTAATTTCTCCATGCTCCATTAAGGCATGCTCATTATAATTCTACAGCCCTCCAGCTCTGCATCCAATGCTATAATAAAGTCCAGATCAATGTTACACATTTCATCCCAGTTAGATAGCTAAAAGAAGTTTTAAAACTCAAGAGTCTAAAGAAATGGGTGCCCAAATTTGACTCCTAAATCTGTTTATGCACCTAAATAAGTGGCCTAATTTTCACAAGCGTTGAACGCCCAACAGCTCTCATTAACTTCAATGGGAGCTACTGGGTGCTCAGCACCTTTTAAAATAACATTTATTGCTTGAATATGGAGTCTTGCACTGTAGGCACCCAATTTTAAAAATCTTCACTCAAGTTCATAGGTGAAATGTGTGTTTCTTCTTATTCAGGTAGCTAACCAAAATGAGTTAGCTAAACTCATCTCACATAGACCATGATCATCATAGGAAACAGTAATACTTTTGGTCATTCCCCTGGGACAATTCTGAATCTAGAGCAGGGGTTCTCAACCTCTCTCTTTATGAGGCCCACCCAATAAAAACTGCATGGCCCACCTGTGCCACAACTGTTTTTCTGCATATCCAGCTGATTAAAAGCCAGTGTCGGCATTAGGGGGTAGCAAGCAGGGCAATTGCCTGGGTAAAATGCCACAGGGGGCCCCGCGAAGCTAAGATGCTCAGGCTTTGGCTTCAGCCCCGCATGGCAGGGCTTGGGCTTTCTGTCCTGGGCCCCAGCAACTCTAATGCCAGCCCTACTTTCTGGTTTATTTTGGCAGACCCCCTGAAACCTGCTCGCAGATCCTCTAGGGACCTCGGACCCCTGGTTGAGAACCGATGCTGTAGAGATTAAACAGCATGATACAGTACACTCCCAGCACCTGAGCCACATAGTGCCCCCAGTAGCACTTCCATATGTATAAAGGTGATCAAGTAAAGGAATTTAAGCTGAACCCTAAGCTGCAGCTCTGATAAAGGTACATACCTTAGGTCGAGTGTCCATGACATACATATAGTGATGAGCAGGGTTGGCTATACTGATCGCATGCAGCATATTTTCATCCTCCAGACACCTGGCACTGAAACCTGAGAGAGGTTGACTGCATCTGCAAATGGCAGCCTAGTACAGAAAACAAAGAATCAGGTAGCAACAATATATTAAGTAACACCTCTAAAAGAATGCTTCAGACATATGTATTCTATAGAGCTGAAACACAGTTAATTCTTTTATTCTGCAGACTATGAAGTGAAAGATAAGCTGAAGAACTAAAGCAAAGATGCTCTAACTTTTTAAATCAAAGTACACTTTTATAGTAGACAAATTTAAGTCCCTGACTGCTGTTCATGGACTTGAAAGATCACGTGGCACTTTGATAGTGTAAAGGTTTACCAAATTTTGGAAATATGTCCGAAGATCTTAGACATCTCAGTTTACTTCCTAAAAAAATTAAGTTTATAATACACAGCCATTTTTCTTACAATAAATGCCTGTCGTGTCTCTACACTCTCAGGATGTTTTCTATTGAATTATTATCTCCCTAAATACAAGACGAATCTACATTTATAATGAAGACAGTCATTTTGTGCTCTTCTACACATCACTTAGGGTATGTCTACACTACGAAATTAGGTTGATTTTATAGAAGTCGATTTTTAGAAATTGATTTTATACAGTCGATTGCGTATGTCCACACTAAGCGCATTAAGTCGGCGGAGTGCGTCCTTACTACCATGGCTAGCATCGACTTACAGAGTGGTGCACTGTGGGTAGCTATCCCATAGTTCCCGCAGTCTCCGCCGACCACTGGAATACTGGGTTGATCTCCCAATGCCTGATGAGGCAAAAACATTGTCGCGGGTGGTTTTGGGTACATGTCATCAGTCGCCCCTCCCTCCGTGAAAGCAACAGCAGACAATCGTTTTGCACCAGACAGGGCGATTAGAAGAGCACAGCAAGGCACGCTGCACATCAGAGAGGCTTTGAAAACCAGTTTCATGACTGGCCAGGCTTCGGTGTGACAGTTGTGTGTGTTTCTCCTTGATGCAAACCCACCCCCTTTTTTTATTTTAATTCCCTGTAAGCTAACCATCCTCCCCCTTCGAAATAAGGTAACTATTGTTTTGAAACCACGCATTCTTTCTTTATTAATTAAAAAAAAAAAAAGAGAGAACAGAAAAGGAAACCCGGATGGGGGGGGGGGGGGGGG